ATATACACTGAACTACAGGTGACGTATCAAAGGCTGTCCGCGCGGCTGGCCTTAAGTTCGGTACTTATCACTCGTTATTTGAATGGTTTAATCCACTCTTCAGAGCTGATGCCGACAGTGGATTCAAGACCCAAACCTATGTCGACGTATGAGATAATGTTTAAAATGTATTTTATGTTTATTTTATATTTTTTGCTACAAATTATAGACTAAAGAAAATCCAGAATTATATGAATTAGTGAACACATATAAGCCGGACTTGATTTGGTCGGATGGGGCCAGCGGTGGAAACTCTCAGTACTGGAAAAGCGAGGCATTCCTCGCCTGGCTTTACAACGATAGGTCAGAATCGAAACAATTTGAATCAAGGTTTTCAATTCAATAATTTGTATCTCACTTTTAGTCCCGTTAAGGATACTGTTGTCGTGAATGACAGATGGGGTACAATATATTGAGACTAAGATTAAACATTTATTTAGTTTAACACATTTATTATTACTTGTATCCAAAAGGATCTGAGACCGACGGTCACCATGGTGATTTCTACAACTACGATGACAATTACAACCCTGGTAAGTTGATGCCTCATAAGTGGGAGAATGCGGCCACACTAACGAAGGGCTCGTGGGGTTATCACCGCAATATCGATCTCAACGGTATTATGAGTCCATTGGAAATACTCACACAACTCGCACAGACTATTAGGTACCAGACCATAATCAGTATTTTTTTATGTTTTTAAATTTATTTGTAAATAATTTTATAAATATGTAGTTGTGGCGGAAATATATTGCTTAACGTCGGGCCCACCAAAGAGGGCACTATTATTCCCGTTTTGGAGGAACGGCTGCGAGGACTGGGAGATTGGCTTAACGTGAATGGAGAGGCCGTGTATAGTAGCCATCCCTGGACTCATCAAAACGATACGACCACTAAAGGCGTTTGGTTTGTATTGACACAGTTTTGGAGGAACGGCTGCGAGGACTGGGAGATTGGCTTAACGTGAATGGAGAGGCCGTGTATAGTAGCCATCCCTGGACTCATCAAAACGATACGACCACTAAAGGCGTTTGGTTTGTATTGACACTAAAAAAATTTACAAATATTAACTGATTTGACAACAGGTATACCCATAAAGACCAAGACGTTTACGCAATGGTATTGTTTTGGCCCAAAAATAATGAGGTGGAGTTGGGATCAGTTGCACATAATTCGGTCAGTAATGTGCAAATGTTGGGAGTGGAGGGCAATCTGGAGCATAAGGCAGGTGCTGACGACCATACAATTGTTACCTTTCCTCACGTCGCTCCTGAAAGCCTGAAAACGGTTTATGTTTTGAAAATTACTACAAAATAAATTGTTACTTTATTTTCACATTATAATTTGTTAATAATTATTGTACAATATTTTGATTTAACTAAATAAATATTTGAGCAATTATTAAATGCTTTATATATTTTGTTTATTGAAATATTAAATAATATTTTAACTGTTAAAAATCGATGATTATAATATTGTAAAATTTTACATTAATTAATTAAAAGTACTGTACAATAGGAATCTAGCTCGCATATTGGGTGCATAGGATGTTAAAATATCTTGTTATCAAACTATGCCAAATATAATCCCGTGTGGGGTATGTAATCAAATAATGTTATAACATATTCACTCAATTGTATTTTAATTTTTTTTGTTGTTGGCAACTACCTTTTCAGTAAATCGTGAATATAACTAATATGTATCAGTATTTTTTAATGAAAACTCTGAAACCAACATATGAATTGATAGCAGGGCTCTACGATGGGCATTGGTTTTTGGACTGCGTCACACGACCATCAGATTAGTCTTAATCTTGTGATTTTACATTTTTGGACATGTAAATTTAAATAATATATTTTAATACAATTTTAAATATTTAGCAATATTTTATCATCAATTATTGTATAAAGTACTCAATAAATAGCTTTGTATCAAAAAAATATAAGGCTTGTTTGTTATTAAATTCTGATTTTAATTTTTATAATCATTAAATAATGTAACAATACATTAGTTTATGGATAAAATTAACAAATATAATATTAAATTTGTTGAAATTTACATTTTAAATGGTACGCTGAATTTTCTTGGGCGGTTCTAATAGAGAATACTCTTGATTTATTATCTCAATTTGTAAAAATACTTTGATACGAAGCTATTTATTGAGCACTTTATACAATAATTGATGATAAAATATTGCTAAATATTTAAAATTGTATTAAAATATATTATTTGAATTTACATGTCCAAAAATGTAAAATCACAAGATTAAGACTAATCTGATGGTCGTGTGACGCAGTATAAAAACCAATGCCCATCGTAGAGCCCTGATTGATAGCTAAATATTAAAAACTCTATTGTGTATTTTATCATAAACTTGTTAAAAATATATTTAATCATTTCTGTTACAAATGTACTAATTTTACTACTATTAATACTGTGCTACTAAGCAAGTGATAGTTTGTCTAAGTTGGCAACTTAATAACCCTGATTCTCTAATATTTCTGGATAACTGTTATTCCCAATCATATCATAAATTCTAGGCATTTGTTTAGAGCATTTGTGACTATTTCTCACAAACCTTTTACTCATATAAAATGCTTAAATTTTGATATAAACTTTTATTATTAGTTTAAAACTAATCATGATTGCTATTAAGAGTTTGATTTTTGTGTCCGCAATACTTGTGACCTATGTATTGAGTGCACCCAATGCTACGGAACCCGGTGCCAGATATGATCCTAAATGGGAATCACTGGACAAGCGTCCCATTCCGGGCTGGTATGACGAGGCAAAGGTCGGTATTTTCATACATTGGGGTGTTTTCTCTGTGCCCGCTTATATGGACGAATGGTTTTGGTTTGTATTAATTATTTTTAATTTACATCCTGGTCACTTTGTAATACTTACTGTTGTTTCAAACGTATATGAGCTCAGGTGGCACTGGAAAGCTTATAATAAAGTTGAGATAGTTCAGGCTGTGGTAGACTTCATGAAAGCCAATTACCCGCCCAACTGGACGTATCAGGACTTTGCCAATCAATTCACGGCTGAATTCTTTGACCCAAACCATTGGGCGGATGTCTTCAAGTATCTCCATATAGATGCTTATTTAAAACCATTGGAAATGATCACAGAAATGATCATGGCCATTAGGTAACTTTTAAGTTGAATATATGCATTGTGCGCTAATAAATGTAATAGATAAATTATATAATATGAAGTATTGTAAGTATTTAAATAATTCTTATATTGTTCGTAATCTAATATCATAATAAATATTAAGCATAATATAAATTAAAATCTCATAAAAATATATTTAAAAATATTAATCAAAACTCACTTATTATGTGTTCAGTTGTGGGGGTAACATGATGTTCAATATCGGGCCCACAAAGGAGGGCACCATTATTCCCGTTTTCGAGGAACGGTTACGAGGACTGGGAGATTGGCTTAGAGTGAATGGCGAAGCCATATATAGCAGCCATCCCTGGACTCATCAAAACGATACGACAACTAAAGACGTTTGGTTTGTATTGATATAAAAACTTTTTAAAATTTTATGATAACATCTAATTTGCCAATAGGTATACACATAAAGACAAAGTTGTTTACGCGACCGTATTGTTTTGGCCCAACAATAATGAGGTGGAGTTGGGATCAGTTGCACACAACTCGGTTAATAACATCCAAATGTTGGGAGTGGACGGCAACCTCAACCACCGGGCAGGTGGTGGTGACCATACTATTGTTACCTTCCCTCACATAGCTTATGATAGCCTTAAAACGGCATTTGTTTTGAAAATTAATACAAAATAAATGTATTCAATGAATCAAAATTTAATAAATTGTTTGTTAATAAACCATTTTATGTTAAAATAAATATAAATATAATATAATTAAAAATATAAAAAATATTATTACAATAGTCATCTAAAAATACAGAGTATGTGCAATCTTTTATAAGGTTTGATCAATACTGTATATTTTATTCAATATACAGTACTGTAATCGTTAAAGTAACACGGAGAATTTGTTTTGTTTTTTCAATAATTTGTACCTTTTTTATAATGTAATAATTTCTATTATTTAATGAATCAGTTGTTGCTGTTATTGTTAAATACCAGTCCGACACACGTTATAGATTTTGTTTTAAAGTTTAGTTTCAGTTCAATTGCACTAACAATCCCAATGCTCCTAATAATTATCAATGATAATTTATCATGTTAATTTAATAAAAACAAGTATACCAGTACAGTATACATAATGTATTAATTATCATTTATTAATTAATACCTCAAAAGTGGAGATAATTAATAGTATTAATACACACTTGAGTTTTGTGTCTAATTATTAATTTTAGATTTAATATATTTTCAATTTCATTAAAGTAAATGAAATAAATAGATTACTTAAACATTAAGCAATATATTCATATCTATATTATAGACTCTATATTGTAAAATTTTCGTACCAACTTGTTTTTTAGTGTTAATGTAGTTTTATAATATAGCAAATAAATTAGTAAAAATTCCTAGGTACTACACATTTTGCAAGCGTAATCTTTTAAAACTTTGCTGATGAGTATTATATAATACAGTCATATATTGTATTATACTTAAAATTATTTGATAAAAATTATCTAATAATTCGCAACGTTTTCAACTGCTAAATAATTCCCATAAATTGAACTAGAAAACATTTTTCAATAGTTTATTGTTAAACATATTACTCAACATTATACTACAACTGTAATAGTAACTGCTCTAAAAGTGTACTAAACAACAAAAAATAGTCTTTTATCAAATTGTTAATAGGTGATTTGTATCGGTAATCTATTCTAGTACAATTATAAAGATATCAAATATTTAACAAAATACTATAAAAGCACTGGAAATTTTGAACTACTTTTCACTTGTAGTCAGTCAATGGTAAAGATAGCCATGACTTCAATAACTCGATTGATTTGTCTGTTTTCACTACTAGTGGTCCACGTATTGAGTGCACCCAATGCTACGAAACCCGGTGCCCGATATGACCCCACGTGGGCCTCCATAGACAAGCGTCCCATTCCGGGCTGGTATGACGAGGCAAAGATCGGTATTTTCATACATTGGGGTGTTTTCTCTGTGCCCTCCTTTGGGGACGAGTGGTTTTGGTTTGTATTTTCATATGATTACCATTTGTTTAAAAATGATTGTCTATAAAAATTGTTTGTTTCCAAAGGTATCGCTGGAAAGGAGACAAAGTGCAGGCATTCATAGACTATATGAAAAACAACTACCCGCCCAACTGGACGTATCAGGACTTTGCCTCTCAGTTCACGTGTGAATTCTTTGACCCAAACCATTGGGCAGATGTCTTCAAGTAGAGATAATCATGATTATAAATTAAGAAAATTGTATATTGATCTACATATTTTAGGGCATCGGGTGCTAATTATGTGGTGCTGACTACCAAACACCACGAGGGGTATGCAATGTGGCCCTCGAAGTACTCGTACAGTTGGAACGCCATGGATGTCGGACCCAATCGGGATTTAGTCGGTATGAGTTTTACAAAATTTTTAAAAATCATACATTTTATGCACCAATATATGAGAATTGTAAAAAGCTGCAATGTGATCACAACTTTCAAATGATTATCATTAAGATTTTATATTGAACATAATTAATTTTCAATTTATACTGTACCCAGGTGAATTATCAACGGCTGTGAGAGCGAAGGGCATGAAGTTCGGTGTCTATCACTCACTGATGGAGTGGTTTCACCCGCTTTTTGTACAGGACGCAGACAGTGGACACAAAACACAATACTTTGTTGATGTGAGACATAAACAGTAAATTATAGCACAAATTGAATGTCTATCTAATAATTGTTGGCAAACTTTAGGCTAAAATACAGCCAGAGTTGCGTGAATTAGTGAACAACTATAAGCCGGATATAATCTGGTCGGACGGTAATGGAGGCGGAGATCCCAAGTACTGGAAGAGTGAGGAGTTCTTGGCCTGGCTTTACACCGATAGGTAGACCCTCTAAGAGATACTAAAATGAGTTATTTATTTAATTTTGTTGCGCTTTTAGTCCCGTTAAGGATACTGTTGTTGTGAATGACAGATGGGGTCTGTATTTCACTAATAGTTTTCCTTAAGATATAGCTTTAATTTTAAATCAAATTTAAGGGGAGGGCTCCGATGGACATCATGGAGACTTTTATAACTTTGCCGACAGTTTTAACCCGGGTGTTTTAGTGCCACACAAATGGGAACACATTGATACAATTAGTAAAGGTGCGTGGGGTTACAAACGTAATGTCAATCTATGGGACTATTTAACACCATTGGAAATGCTCAGACAATTGGTCATGGCTATTAGGTACCGTATTTGAATATATAAATGTAGCATTATTAACACGGGTAGTAATTAATTGAATATATTTAGTTGCGGCGGAAACATGATGTTCAATATCGGGCCCACAAAGGAGGGCACCATTACTCCCATTTTCGAGGAACGGTTGAGACAACTGGGAGATTGGCTTAATGTGAACGGAGAGGCTATATATAAGAGTAAACCCTGGACTCATCAAAACGATACGCTAACTAAAGATGTTTGGTTTGTATTGATACTAATATTTTTAAAACTTTATGATAACATCTAATTTTCCAATAGGTATACGCAAAATGGTCAGGCTGTTTACGCAATGGTATTGTTTTGGCCCAAAAATAATGAGGTGGAGTTGGGATCAGTTGCACATACCTCAGTCAGTAATGTGCAAATGTTGGGAGTGGAGGGCAATCTGGAGCATAAGGCAGGTGCTGACGACCATACAATTGTTACCTTCCCTCATGTCGCTCCTGAAAGCCTGAAAACGGTTTATGTTTTGAAAATTACTACAAAATAAATTGATATTTTATTTTCACATTATAATTTGTTAATAATTATTGTACAATATTTTGATTTAACTAAATAAATATTTGAGCAATTATTAAATGCTTTATATATTTTGTTTATTGAAATATTAAATAATATTTGAACTGTTAAAAATCTATGATTATAATATTGTAAAATTTTACATAAATTAGTTAAAAGTACTGTACAATAGGAATCTAGCTCACATATTGGGTGTTATTTTATTATCAAACTATGCCAAATATAATCCCGTGTGGGGTATGTACTCAAATAATGTTATAACAATATTCACTAAACTGTATTTTAAAATGTTTTGTTGGCAACTACTTTTTCAGTAAATCGTGTATATCTTGTACTAGATAAAATGTACTAGTACTAGATAAAATGTACTAGTATTTTTAATGGAAACTCTGAAACCAACATATGAATTGATATCATAAATATTAAAACGTCTTGTTTATTTTATCATAAACATATTAAAAATATATTTAATCAATTCTGTTACCAATGTTTTAATTTTACTACTATTAAGTTACTGAGCTAGTAATCAAGTGATAGTTTGTCTAAGTTGCCAACTTAATAACCATGATTCCCCAATATTTCTGGAAACTGTTACAGTATTCCCTTTTATGTCTTAAATTCTAGGCATATGTTTAGGGAATTCGTGATTATTTCTCAGAAACCTTTTACTTATACTTATATCAAATGTTTAAATTTTGATCAACTTTTATTATTAGTTTAAAACTAGTCATGATTTCTATTAAGAGTTTGATTTTTGTGTCCGCAATACTTGTGACATATGTATTGAGTGCACCCAATGCTACGGAACCCGGTGCCAGATATGATCCTAAATGGGAATCACTGGACAAGCGTCCCATTCCGGGCTGGTATGACGAGGCAAAGGTCGGTATTTTCATACATTGGGGTGTTTTCTCTGTGCCCGCTTATATGGGCGAGTGGTTTTGGTTTGTATTAATTATTTTTCATTTACATCCTGGTCACTTTGTAATACTTACGGTTGTTTCCAACGTATATGAGCTCAGGTGGTACTGGAAGGCCTATAAGAAAGAAGAGATAGTTCAGGCTGTGGTAGACTTCATGAAAGCCAATTACCCGCCCAACTGGACGTATCAGGACTTTGCCAATCAATTCACGGCTGAATTCTTTGACCCAAACCATTGGGCGGATGTCTTCAAGT